TGGTTTCGTTCAGTGTAGACACCATGGCAGATATCAGTGCTGAGGCCCTCAAAAAAGAAGTTCAAGGTAAGTTCATAATTTTTCTTAACAGTTTAGGACTTTGAGAGCGCCATGATGAGAATCATATCTTCATAACAATTAATTAAGGTTTCAGCAAACTTCGTTCGTGGCTATGTCAGAAAAGTGATTTCAGTGAGACGTAGTGAGATTCCGACACAGTCCAAGTGCTTTCTCATCGTGATCTGGTCAAATATCGTGCGTTATTTGCCGTGATTAAAGAATTAAAGATTTACAATGCAGTCATTTTAACTATTGAAATTTATCTATTTCTAAATTTGTTAGATTTAAAGTGAAGGATTTCACTCTGATCAGTACGTATCTTATCTGTCAGAGTACAACCAAGACTCGAATTTCTTGCCTATCAGCAGTGAAATTTTGTCTGTGACTACCTTCGCTATTTCCACCTGCGAATCATTGTTAGCAAAATTCTAAGTTACCTTACCACGTTCATAGTAGTTAAGATATGTTTTGAAAAGATGTGCAGTATTTTGATAGTGAACATGTGGACTTGTCGGCATTTGGTTATCCCGTAAGTATTGTCCCGGCTTCAGTGGAGTGGGGAAATTTCCCTATATTACTGTCGTTTGATGAGCTTGTATGCGGCATGCCAAACGTGCTCGTGTCTCGGGTTTGTGCCAAACTTCCAAGCGCTGAGCGGCTGTAGCCCGCCACCGTTGCTCTCTAGCCAAGCGCTCTCAGCGTCACTACTGCGCTTCGGCCCGACTCGGTTGGTGTGTTGGTGAGATCTCCTATCTTTAATATTTCCTGTTTCAAATGCTTAAGGTGATGTTTGCATTAGCTTTTTATGTAGAATAAATGCTCTAGTATAAGTTTTGTAAGTATAAGTTTGATTTTTTTCTGTAAGGATTGTTATAATTTATTTGTTGAAAAAGCGCGTCGTCTTGCCTATTTTGTTGGACCTTGTAGCGTCAGTGCAGAGAGGTGGTATGTCCTCGATCTTTTCAAACCGCCAAAGCCAAGCTCGTTGCTACCTATATATTTGAACGATAGTATAACGTAATGATAATTTAGCAAGAAATTTTCAAGATTGTTTTGTAATTTTCAATTCGTTGGTCGTGTTGTAAAATTCGTAATTTTAAATTATCTGCACAAAGACTTGCGCGCTTGGCTTGCTGCCTACGTTACGTACAGGGTACGCAACTGTCGAGTGACATTTTGTTTTGGCGTCAAGATATTTGTCTTATCGTTTATAAAATATGTAGCTTACTGTACTTTAATTGTAATAATTCATCTCAGCCTTTTTTGTAGTACGTATAATGTATTTTTTCATATTTTTTCGTTTATTTGTTCACTTCTGAACGATAGTCATCGCGATCGATAGGCGAGTCTCAAACGAACCTTTCTGGAACGGCTGGTTTTATCTGGAATGGCTGATCCAATGGCGGCCACAGCGTTGGCGATATTTTCATGCAAATTGGATATTAAGTAACAGAAATTCGATTCACGTTTATTTTAACTCGCCGTTTTCTATTATATTAACGGAAATGTTTTGTGATCTCAACTTAAATTTGTTTACTTTAATTTACGTCCTAAATTACCCTAGTTTCAAGGAATTGCAGTAGCTGGTTTTCTACTGAGCATTTATTGATGGTCCCTCGAGATTCAAATTTACCACATAAATGTTCGACTCAGTTCACGACGCGCGTTATGTGTTACGTTAGGCGTTAGCACATTTTTAATGTAATAAAACCACTTCGATAATATATATACATTCATTTTCTTTGTTGTGTTTTAATTTGAATTTCGGCGACATGAAAAATTTTATTCTCAGAAACTATGCCTCCAAAATTTTTTAGGATAAATTTGATGAATGATTTCTCTGCACTTACAGGTTCAATTGCAGCAGATGAATATAGAATAGTAAATTCTAGAATGTTTTAATTCATAACCATTCACATTTAAATGGCATGTTATTAAATAATACTTGGTGAACCAGATTCTTTGTGGAGCCTAATCCTATTTATATAAATTTACAAATTTATAGTTTATTCTCATGCATATGTTTATCAGATGAATAATAATGAAATATATTTAGGATATTTAATTTTTTTGTTACAAATTGTGTTATTATCAATTGACCAGCAATTAAACTTTTAGTTTATAATCAGTGACAATAATCCATTGGATCAGAAAGGCTGAATCAATGTTAATTTAGATTGCAAAAATACAAATTACTTCTGTTTGATTATAATTTATTTATTCTGACTACAGATTCCAATATTCAATTTTTCTTGTGCAGAAATTTTGAAAGGTGCAGACCTCTCTAAGGTGACAAGTAAAGTTGTCAGAAAACAGGTTGAAGAGAAGCTTGGTGTTGATTTAAGTCACAGAAGGAAGGAAATCGACGCACTCATAATGGCTGATGTTGAAGATCAGGTACTATAATGAATTTTAAAAACTAATTTCATTCGATTTATGCACTTGAATGACTTGATTATATCTACAGGGTGCACCAGAGAAACTTACTTATTTGAAAAAACTCCTGTGTGGTGAGCTGGGCAGGTAGAGGGGCAAGAGGGGGCTCATCTGGAGAGGGAAGTTCCCAAGTTTGTTTCTCCCTCTAGTCAGTTGCTATCATGCTCTGGTCTAAAGAGCAGCGGGCCTTTGCAGTCGAGACCTTCTTTTCTAACGGTCGCTCACTTGTTGCTACGCAACGTGCCTTCCGCACTCGCTTTGAAATTCCTCCTCACAGACTTGTTCCTGGCCGTAATTCAATTCTGTTGTGGGTTAACTCATTTCGAGAGTGTGGAAGTGTGGCTAAACCCAGAAATGGACTTCAACGGACTATCAGAACTCCGGAAAATGTTGAGAGAGTCAGGCAGTCAGTTGTGCGTTCTCCCCAGCATTCGGCTCGCAAACATGCCGCCGCTATGGGAATTTCTGAAACAACTGTTCGACGAATTCTCCGTGAAGACCTCCACTTTCATCCCTATAAATTGGATGTTGTGCAAGAATTAACTGAACGCAATTTTCGCAATACATTATGCGTAGGTTGTATTGGTGAATATATTGCATTCCTCCAATTTTTGTTATGATTCTTTCATCAATTGCCTGCAAGTGTAGGTGCCCTTTTGATCAAAAGAATTTATCTTGGCTACAGAATTGAGTATTTATTGGTCATTTTTTAATATTTTCATTAATATTTATGTTCATGATTAGTTTTTATTTGAAATTGATCAATTTTTAAGTAAGTAAACTTTGATATTATGCATTAATCTTGTTATTTTATTAATATGATGTCTTAAATTTCATTAACATGATGTATGCTATGTCTAAGAAAAAACAATTTATGTGGTATATGTCTCCCTCAGGTCAGCTCGGAGGAAGTTTCAGAGGAGGAGGACAAGGCAGCGGTAAGATTGATTATAAAATACAATTTTTCATCACCTTGTATAGTCGATATAGAAAGCACTTTTATTAATTAAATGCATCCTGCATGATATGTGGACATTTTTTTATTATTTTCTATGGAAGGAAAAAGCTTAAAGTATTTTTTTCAAATATTTAATGATTTAAAAATGTTTTGTTTAAACGAACATATCTTAATGTTTTGGTCTGCCTCCAGAAGGATGACGACTATGCACCAGGTGCTGCCAAGAAGGCAAAGAAGGGCAAGGCCAAGAAGCGGTTACTCTGATTCGAGTAAAACTCAATATTCGGTGGATTGTTAGCTCATTTTCTCATTTATGGAAAAAATGCCCTATTGTGCTCGTCATGTTCGTCCGTCTGTCTGTCCATCTGTCTGTACATCTGTCTGTTTCAGACCCGCAACAAGCTATGAATGCTCTGCAATGGTTAGAATCGGCAATAGGTCTAACAGCTTGGATCATTGCGTCAACAATCTATTATTATTAACAGCCTAATCAACGCTAACACCGCTATACTATACTATTTCATCTATCTCCTAATCATGCGTATAGCGTATTATCCCATATTCTCATGCTATCTCAATTTCTTATTATTTATATTCTTATTATTTCTGGCAACTCAGTGCCACCTCTTGTTTTCAATTTCCCCAGCCTAGCCGCACAAACACAAGGCGCTCCCATACAAGTATAGGCTTGCTGCTCAACTTTATTTACATGATCTTACCCCTGTGCCCAGCCTGCGTTATCATCACCTTGCAGGTATCATTTGAATGCTGCCCGGTGCCCAGCCTGCGTTATCGTCACCATGCAGGTATCATATGTATGCTGCCCGGTGCCCAGCCTGCGTTATCTTAACCGTGGCAGGTCGAGTGAAATTGTTTTCGTAACTTAATTTTTGCGCTTGTAATTTCCCTACGTTCATTTCAAACTACATGATAGAATTTCTGCGTCTACCTTTTATTTACAATTTAATTTTAGACTAAGCCGAAGAATTGGTGATAAGGTGCCTCACCTATGTCAACCATTTAAAATTCAGTTCTCCATTTGAGGACTATTGCCCCTTTGAAATATAGCTTGCATGTTTTATACGTGTAAAATGTTATTGTGGAGAGACATGCCTTGTGCTTATTCTATTCCTGATTATTACAGTTAGTAAATATTGTACTATGATCCATTAGATGAGAAAAAATGAGAAAATCGTAGAAGATGTCCTTAATTTTGTACGAGATTCTCAATTGCTGCGAAAATCGAATATGATGCGTTCATTATAATCATTAGCCTCGTGCATGTTCTCCGGGCAAAAATTGTTCTCCACTGAGCCAATAAATTTAATTAACTGTACTTCTGTACCGATTTCACTGGAACGTACTTTGATTGTTCTTTATGGTTTTGTTTATTTTCTTAACTCATTTTCGGTACATTTGAGCAACTGGTTCGGTACTGCGTAGACCCACTATGATTCTATTTTGAATCTATTTCTCGCGACGGAAAGTTGCATCCAGTAACTTTAAATATACTTTTTTCGTGCAAATAAAGAGACTTTTTGTGGATTATCTGTCATTTTTACTTCACGCCCCAAGGTACACGAGAGACCTCAATAAAAAATCGTCGAACGGAAAGAGTTAGAGGAAGTGATAGCGTATATACGAGAGGATTGGTCTTTACATTTTTGTTTGATTGTTCGTTTTTCGCACTCTTTCTGATTTCTGATAATTGTAAACTTACTCCAGAAATTTTCGTTGAAGCCACCTAGGCATAATTTTTAAACACTATATAAAAGGATCCAAATCCTTTTGCTGACTCGTTCTAGTGATTTAACTAGATACTACATCCTACAGAGATATTTCAAAATTGCATCAGGAATCCATGAGTTATTCAATAGCTGAAAATTTTAATAATTCGGACAACTGCAATGGCTTCGTTTTTATTTACTTTCGACAAGTAAGTTCCTCAGCGGCAGTCTATAATTACAGATTGCGCTTGTACCTGAAATCATCACAAGAATGCTTAACCTAGCAAACATTATAAAGTTCTATGATAAGTCAAGTTTACGTAGTGGGTCTACACGGTGAGGTGACCGAGACAGAAGTATTACTCGCAGTCTATAATTTCATATTGCGCTCAGAAATCATCAGAAGAATGATTAACCTAACAAGTTTTATTAAGTTCTATGAATGGTCAAGTTTGCGTAGTGGGTCCACACGGTGAGGTGACCGAGACAGAAGTATTGCTCGCAGGCCTCGAGGGTGTCGTAGTATTTCATGGCCTTGCATTTGCCGCTCTGTACGAGCTGGCAGTGAGATTTTTTAACGTAGAACTTGATGAGAAGCTGGGAATGCTCCATGTCCATGATGTAGCCCCTGACCTGAGGGTAGGTGTCCTCGTAGAAGCGGCTCGTGGGGAACTGAATCAACAGCGTCTGGCAAGTTGAAATTTTGCCGTGTGAGAACAGATAATTAATCATTAATACACACTTCTGGGTTTGTTCTGGTCTGCATAATGGGCTTCAAGATGCAGAAATAATGTTAATGGCAAGGTCAGGGCCATTTTAAAAGATAGGTACGGATTAAATGTTATAAACTTATTGTTCATTTTCTTGGCTTCTGATCCACTTTTCTGCTTCTTACCCACCATGTCTACGAAAGACTTTAAACGATTTTAATTGCAGCAAATATGGAACTGACTCTCTACATGAACAGATAATTGTCACTTAAACAAGCCAATATTATTTTGCTGAAACGAAAAAATACATTAGCTATTTAATCAAGTACATAAGAAATAACACGATACAAAATTTCCCAAGCTCCAAAAGGTTCTTTGATTTTACATCGCTTATTATATATACTAAAAATGTCATATCCGTAAACTCTATAAGACGGATACTTTAATTTAATTGTTTTATAAGTTTTCAATTTTTTTATTAGTCTGGAATTTTTATTAGTTTGCAATTTTTTATTAGTTTGCAATTTTTCAATTTTATTAGTTTCCAAAACTCACTTTGACGATAATTTTATTAGTTTACAACACTCACTTTGATGTCAATTTTACTGGTTTGCAGAGCGTCTCTGATTTTCTCCTCGTCCCTGTCGTATCCAGTGGCTATGGAGAGCATGTCGATCGTGGTAAAGTTGCCAGCGAGCAACAAGGACGACAACGGCGCGCACATCACCCAGATGGTCGTACCACGTTCCTCGTCCTGAATAAAAATCTCGGGAGATAAGATAAAATAAATAACGTATAAGATACAAGAACTAGAAAACAAATTTTCTTACGTCAAAAATTATTTGTCACAAACAAAGGGCAGATGGCCTCGAATAACCAGTACGCAGAAATAGATGATGGCAAACGAAAGGATAAATTACCAGCTAATGGAATAAAAGATGGCTAGCTTAAAAGCAGTTGAAAACACAGGCAAGATAGTTTAAAAGTAAATGAAATGCAGCATTTGAACATAGATTTTAAGCAAACTTAACAAATAGATGATGGCACAAAAGTTAATGTATAAATGAGTCAGGTAAACAGTAACATACGTTAGAGAAATAGTTGAACAGAAACGAAAATTGGTCTGGCAAAGAATTCCGCCATGTTTCTTCCCCATAACCTTTTTCCACTAGTGCTTCACAGGTTCCTCCACTTCACTAGTACTTCACTAGTTCCTCCACTTTTTTACTATTAAGTTCCATCACTTGGAATTCAGTTGCAAAAATACATCGAATCACAAACGCTAAGCGTACAAAAAAGGTGGCAAAAACAGGAGTAAATTCAATGAAATAAATAGTGTTTGATTCACTGCACTGAATACTCCGGAAGAAAAAAAAACACTACAGAGTTTAGTGTGGCGAAAATAGCCAAAGAGAAAGAACAAAAATAACATTCAAGTACCAGCAATCATAAACCAAAATGCAAAAGATGCAGGAAACGCAAAAGATGCAGGAAACAAAAAATAAACCCACAAAAGCCAAATGGCTGCCTACCAAATACTTAAAATTCCTTGTAGAAATAGCTTGAATTTTAAGTGTCTACAATAGGGTCATTGGCTATAAGTAGCTTTACTTCCTGACATTGCATCACCTGAGCATCAGATTATCGAGCCTGGCGATGGCTTCCTTGTACTTGAGTCCGGCCTCGACAGGCCGCTTGTTATTGAAGAGCTCGTTGCCCTGCTGCCTAAGCAGCGAGACGCTCTCACGCCGCTCATCGTCCGTCATCTCCCAGAACTGCTTCTCGTAGCTTCCCGGAAGTTCTACCTTCAACAACTCTATAGGAAATACTCTGTATTAGATAGAATAATAATAAAGTTGTTGAACTGTACAATTCAGACTAATTTATCTTGGCATTGGGGAGTGACACCTTCAAGATCTCTCTGAAACAATCTGTATTGGAGATAATAATACTGGAGTTGTTAAGAAATTTAAAAATCTGACTAATTTATATTGGCCTTTCATAGTTAGTTCCACGTTTCACGATCTCTGCGTAAATCCTCTAGTATAGAGAAATTGAGGAATTTTGCTGGAAGTACATAATTTTACATTTATTTCCCAAATAGTAAACAAGGTAAACCCTAACAATGTACCGTATGTGGTTTAAAAAAATGTTACCTACTAGTACTCACTACCTATGCAGTGCCTACCACTTCAACCTGTCACCATCACTCAACATTATCCATGAAATTCAATCAAGCAAAAATCAAATCAGGCCAATTGAATGAATAGACGGTCCATTCATAGCTATTTACCGACAGTGAACTTCATGTGGCGAGGCCGAGCTATAAGACCATCCAGGTCAGCATGCCCCAAGCCTTCCTTGATGCCCATGCCACAGCAGCGATGTCCACCCTCCTTGTCATGTGATGGTGGATTCTTGCTCAAGGCTTTCCTCATTGTCTGTGATACTATAGGATAAGTGGACAGCATCTGAAAATGAAGTGAATTCATCAATAATTTTTATGAGTAAATTCCAGATAAATGGAAATTGAGGTGGGATTTTTTTAGAGTGCCTTTCTTTTCTAAAGCAAATATTGACTAACATATTTTGTCTTGAAGCAGACTTAAATTTTGTGTCAGGCTTCATGAAGTTAGCAAACAGCAACAGCAGGTTGGGACTGGACCTTCTGCAATTATAAAATGGCTACTTTTTGGTCTACTTTTGTTTGCAATGCTTAGTGAGTGTGCACTGACATACACGAAGTGAAAATTCAAATTTCTTGGATATCAAATTAGAAAAAAAATTTTCTGGAAGATTTGCAGTAGTATCTATCAGATTTATTTTCTACTTTACCACATAAAATAATTTTTCCAGGCAATCTACACAACAAACATAGATCAGTAACAAACCAGTTTCAGCAGTAAAAATTAGTAAAAAATGAAATTCTAGCTCACAAAATGTTACACACTAACCTTCTTGTCAATAAGAAACTCGGTAACTTCACCAAGTTTCATGTTCTTCACGCACTCTTCAAGAACCTCCAGCTTAAACTGCTTGCCCAAAATCAGCTCCACCGGCTGCTTCCAGTGCCGACTGTCATCAATAACATCTCCATAAAGCTGAGGGATGTTGCTCACAGCTACATGGGACACATCAGTATCCTCTGGCAGGGCTTCAGTTTTGAGATGAAACAACAGCTGGAAAAAAATTCTTGTTTAGAAACACAGCTCAACTAAATTATAGTTAAATTGCAGGCCCAATGATTAGATTTTAGACATAGGGTTTGCATTTTAAAAATATATCAATGATATTATATTCTCATATATATATATATATAGATGAGAATATTATAGATATTCATATATATTATATGAAAATCAATTACACTCCCCCAGGTCTACTTTAAGGATAACTGGTTATTCTTGTTTCAGTTACTCATAAACTTGCGCAGTTATGTTTGGTTTTGTGTTACGTATGATTAAGATCCATGAATATATATATATATATAGTCTGCATATGCCATCATCATCAAAAATATAATTGTATCATCATCTTTCTTAACAAAAATTGTAGACATGAATCCAACCACTTTGAATAAATGCTATTAAAACTTTATCATTGTGGGATTAAGACTGAAAGTAGCAACTGGTCATAGCTCTTCATATTCAGTCATAAAGAACTGTGATTCAAAAATTATATCCAATTGTTTTACTTTGCTTTAATTAAATTACAAATTCTAATTCAATTATATACATAACAACAAAATATTATAACAAGCAAATGAAGCAATGGTATGACCGTATTGTAAACACTTGGGTTTTTCAGAATAACTTGCAAGTTACAACATTTCAAATTTACCAAAAATTATTGATTATTAGGCATAAAGTTTATACAAAATTTTCATTTTTATAATCTTGGATTAGCATTTGGATTTGATGATTTGAATTGAAATAATAAATTTCTATAAGAAAATACAAAAACTTTATTATTAGTCGTTACACAGAAGCTATAAACAGTATTGCCATCATACAGTGTGGAATTCTGTATATGTAATATATTCTCATGTCAATATAAGAAAACGTATCGAAATACCAACCCTACCACCGCGTTACACCACCTTCCACTGCAATGAAAATTTATAAACTGAGCTCATTGGGACCTGTCTCTTATACACANTATACGTGTTTAAGCCTATAAGAAGTTAATTTTTTTGCCTCAAATAATGTTGTATCGAAAAACTGGTCTAGGTGTAGCGAAAATAATATATGAACTGTAAATTTTAGAATTCCATCCTGCCATCATAGTGGCAAACCAGTGATTTTTTAGATTTGCCATTGGCATGCTAACCATGCTTTTATTGAATTAGTCAATTTGCATAGCTAGAACAAATGCTTCTCAGGCAAAACTAGAAATTTGGGCAAAAAAAACCTGTGATTAAGACAGGAATGCTTGTGAATCTCCCCAATTTCACCTATTTAAATAGCTTTTTAGCAATTTCTTCTATAAAGAAATGAAGAATACATGCCTATTTTTATCTCCAAGAACAGAAGGTACTCTACCTAATTTGCCAATGTTTTATAAAACCAAATATATACCTAGGTATATATATAAATAATATTTACTGGATAGTGTATACTAGTCAGAACTCAAAACTCATAAGTCTGAAGTCAAAACTACCTACAATTTAGAGTTTGATTACAATTTATAGCTTAATAACAACATCTTGCTAATGCTAAAAATGTTGATAAGGTGATTTTTTTATATAATAGATCGTTTCTATTAAATGCAGACTATGCAGGCAAGTTGGCAACATAAGTCATTTCGTTATTCAAGTGGCATTGACATAATTACGTTAGTCTGCAAACTGGTGGAACTGTGATGAGTGCCGACTGTTCCGATTTATACCTTAAACGAAATGGCTGAGAGACACAACTAACTCCATTGACAGTAAATTAAATGTAACCGCTGGTATCACTTACTTTCGTACCATCAGGGTAAGAAGCATCACCCGTGCCGCTGACAGTGGTTAAACATTTTATGAAGCGCCTAATGCCTAAACCACTCATCTCGGCGCAAGTTGCGGTCAACTAATCCGAAGCTCAACTTATGTAGTTGCGGATTTTCTAGAATATCAGAACTTCCGAAGTTGAGGATTGGGAATATGTGTAGGAGGCCGGTCAGGAATAAAAAATTAAAATTATTACTGAGATGAGTGAAGAAAAAGCGCTTCTACATTTTCGGAAAAAGATAAATATTTTTATTAGCCCTGCATTATTATCTCGATTAAAATAGTATTGCGCTGCATTACAGATTAAATTAGGTTGCTGGCGCACAGTTGCCACATTTAAATCCTGTCTCATGTTGAGCTGTAATCTACATTTGACGCCATAGCTGAAAAAATTATGCAGAGCACTCCTCCATCGTGCAGTAATTATTGTCACCCTACAGAAAAATATTAGACACCGATCCTTATAAGTATATTGCCCTTCTTATAAATCCATTCCGTCAATGCAGGGCAATCCGCATGACTTAATAAGCAAAACTTTCTAGCTAATGGCACAAGATTATCGAATCTACTCTGATTCGAGTAAAACTCAATATTCGGTGGATTGTTAGCGCATTTTCTTATATATGGAAAAAAATGCCCTGTTGTGCTCGTCATGTCCGTCCCTCTGTCTGTCCGTCAGTGACTTCACGTTTTCGTCGACGAGAAAATGCGCTCTCTGTCACTCACTGCAGTGAAAACTGAGTTATATTCTTTTTTTAATTTTCGGCAGGCATCGGAAGCGACCACTTTGAAAATCGTGTTTACAATAGGAAGCTAATCACAGTAAACGATTGTAGTTGCTACACGAGAGACCACATCCAAACCTCCTTAATGATCGCTGGTGTTTTATATACGTCGTTCTGGAAAATAATTAGAAATCTCGTCTTATTATTTTTATGTTTTGGAGCTGAAACTCGAGATATCGTTATCCGTATTCCCGTTAGTAGAACACGAAGGACTTTAAGTAATGTTTAAACATCCAGCTTGAATGAGAGATCACATCGGACTTGTTTCTGCATTCTTTTAAGAACGTATAATTCTGCTGGGGGAATAGTTACCCTTGCTGACATTATGTTTAATAAATGTTCGAAAAGCATCAACGTAATTAGATGAAAACCTAACATTTGCCGAATCCTCCGCATCCAGTATATGCAGCCGGCATACCGAGCACTGCGATTCGACTACAGATGTTTTCCATGTGATCATTACCGCTTATTGTATTGTTTAACCCAGTCCAATCCCGAGCATCTATGTGGGTGCCACGTGGTCACAGATCACACTACTACATTTCTGCAGGTTACTAGGATTAGAGCAGTGAGCTATGAGTTTGATCCCAGCTGTTGAGGCAGGTCTAGGCAAAATCGTCAAGGTGGCCGCGTTGTTAACAACGTAAAATTGAAGCAGTGAGTACTACCTAGTAGTGTTTTTCAGACCCGCAACAAGCAATGAATGCTCTGCAATGTTTAGAATCGGCAATAGGTCTAACAGCCCAATCAATGCTAACACCGCTATGCTATACCATTTTATATATCTCCTAATCATGCGTATAACGTATTATCCCATATTCTGATGCTATCTCAACTTCTTATTATTTATATTCTTATTGATTCTGGACACTCATTGTCACCTCTCGTTCATTTTGAGTTTCCCAGCCTAGCCGTACAAACACAAGGCGCTTCCGAGTAATCCATGCAGGTATATAAGCTTGCTGCTCAAGTTTATGTACATGATCTTGCCCGTGTGACCACTCTATTAATTGTTCCAGATCTGAGGTCGTGCGGCATTTGTTAGAAAAAGGCGGTATTATCGCCGGAGCGCTCATGCTTTCGCTGGTGATGTGAGGTATCGTCACCATGCAGGTATCATATGAATGCTGGCCGGTGCCCAGCGTGCGTTATCTTAACCATGACAGGTATCATATGAATGCTGCCCGGTGCCTAGCCTGCGTTATCTTAACCATGACAGGTATCATATGAATGCTGCCCGGTGCCCAGCCTGCGTTATCTTAACCATGACAGGTATCATATGAATGCTGTAGTTCTATGAATGGTCAAGTTTGCGTAGTGGGTCCACACGGTGAGGTGACCGAGACAGAAGTATTGCTCGCAGGCCTCGAGGGTGTCGTAGTATTTCATGGCCTTGCATTTGCCGCTCTGTACGAGCTGGCAGTGAGATTTTTTAACGTAGAACTTGATGAGAAGCTGGGAATGCTCCATGTCCATGATGTAGCCCCTGACCTGAGGGTAGGTGTCCTCGTAGAAGCGGCTCGTGGGGAACTGAATCAACAGCGTCTGGCAAGTTGAAATTTTGCCGTGTGAGAACAGATAATTAATCATTAATACACACTTCTGGGTTTGTTCTGGTCTGCATAATGGGCTTCAAGATGCAGAAATAATGTTAATGGCAAGGTCAGGGCCATTTTAAAAGATAGGTACGGATTAAATGTTATAAACTTATTGTTCATTTTCTTGGCTTCTGATCCACTTTTCTGCTTCTTACCCACCATGTCTACGAAAGACTTTAAACGATTTTAATTGCAGCAAATATGGAACTGACTCTCTACATGAACAGATAATTGTCACTTAAACAAGCCAATATTATTTTGCTGAAACGAAAAAATACATTAGCTATTTAATCAAGTACATAAGAAATAACACGATACAAAATTTCCCAAGCTCCAAAAGGTTCTTTGATTTTACATCGCTTATTATATATACTAAAAATGTCATATCCGTAAACTCTATAAGACGGATACTTTAATTTAATTGTTTTATAAGTTTTCAATTTTTTTATTAGTCTGGAATTTTTATTAGTTTGCAATTTTTTATTAGTTTGCAATTTTTCAATTTTATTAGTTTCCAAAACTCACTTTGACGATAATTTTATTAGTTTACAACACTCACTTTGATGTCAATTTTACTGGTTTGCAGAGCGTCTCTGATTTTCTCCTCGTCCCTGTCGTATCCAGTGGCTATGGAGAGCATGTCGATCGTGGTAAAGTTGCCAGCGAGCAACAAGGACGACAACGGCGCGCACATCACCCAGATGGTCGTACCACGTTCCTCGTCCTGAAGAACATGAATTAAGTCACGAAAAACTCAGTATCAAATCAAACTGAGTATATTTCATAGTATCAAATCAAACTCAGTATATTTCAAATTGTGCAAAATTTGTTATTCCTGTTCAACTTTCTAAATGACTCCGCAGTGAATGTTGCGATAGAGATGTAGCCCAATTTCGGAAAAAAATACATAGTACAAATTTTCCTTCAAGAGTCGAATACAGTTCAAGTAGACATTACAGAATCTCGCTCAGTTCGGCAACATTTGTCGCGTCAGTAAACGTTTCTCATTAGTTTAGACATGGATTGTATTTGCAAAGTCGTCTATGACAATTCCCAATTTTCCCATCAATTTTTCTTTCTAAAGACTTTGCTCTTTGTGGTACCCAAGACATAAATATCCCATCACGTCTTCTCTATAAAAAGTTGCTCCTTGTGGTACCCAAGACATAAATGAGACTCACGCCTATCATGGTGTCGACATTGAGCTTGCTCCTGGCCAGAAGAATTTGTTGGAAGTGGTGCGGTAGGTCATCTTCTAACGTCCGCAGCCAGTACCTGTGCTATAAGTTAAACAAACACAAACATTGTACAAGTTTTGTACAATGTTTACAATGGTAAAAACATGGTACACAGCTGCGTGGTTACGTGGTGCAACAATAAGGTAATTAAACGGATGAACACCTATAAAGTTATTGTATATATATCAAAAGCGCAAAAAGAAGCGATAGAATTCTCTATGTATTAAGCAATGATCTTTCATTCACCACATGGCGCTCAACCTTAGAAACATTTCGCATTTTTACTCTCATTATAAATGAATGGCGTTTGTGCAAACTTTTTCTATACTTTTCTTTTCTACAATTTATTTTATATCTGTGGAACCTTTCATTCACATCATCCTTAAAATTTTCAAAGTCAAAGTCACTCAAACCGTGCTGCAGTATGTGTTTTAAAGTGTCAAAAACATCGCGTCGTAAATTTATACTAAAAATTTACAATGATGTAAAATTGTTGACTGCAGATAAAATAATGAAATTCTAAATATTGTTGATGTCCGACACCCATTCATAGAACATTTTCATTTTCCGCTTGGAATACACGATATGGCGACGAACAATAAAAAACACCATTTGCTGTACAACATATTTTATTGTATCGAACGCCGAAAAACTGACACGATCGTTACTATCCCAACTTATGCACAATACAGGGTGGTATTCTAATTTTAAAGATCATTTAACATATCTTCACAGTCTCGTGAAAAAGTTTATTCAAACCGATGCGCAACTGCAAGTCAGCGTACTAAGTATATTGGCTCGAACATTATCGCTTGTTATGCATGTAAATTTATACTTGAAACGATTTAACCTAGACCTGCTCTGCAAATGCATTGTAATGGTATTATGAATTCTGTCATTCAGTTGGCCTTATAGTCTCGTCTATAATAAAAAATTTCCCTCGGGTATTGCAAATCATTAGTTGATAATTACACATAAAAATGCGAGTGTTCAGTTGAGTTATTTAGCTTCATTCTTCTTTTTGTTTATATTGAAAGTAAGAGTCCTTCATTTAGTTTCTATGTTAGTGGATTAGTTTAGTTTTTCATTTTGTTTAGCCGCAACGATGCAGAATTTGGCAGGTGATGCAGAGGTAAGTGGGTGAT